CAGAGCTGGCGGCATGGCAGCAGGAGCTGTACCGCGATGTGATGATGGACAACTATGAGCTGGTGGCCTCGCTGGGTGAGGACGGTGTGAGCCGGGTGCTGGGGTTGCACCGGGCCCCCTCCCTCCTCCAGCGGACACGCGGGGGCCGCTGGGTGTGGGCGACCCTGGCGCGCAGGTCTCTGCACCCAGGCAGAGTCCGTGGGAAAGTGGATTCTTGGTGCGCCGGGCCTGCATCTCGCTTGGTGCACGCCTGGGCATGCGGCATCTGCACGGTGCCTTTGGCCGCGGCTTGCCCGAGGGGCCACGTTCCCTACGCACGTGCATTACGACGGCTCCGGTGGGCACGCAGCACCCCGGGGCAGCATTCACCCCGGGGCCCTGCGTGGAGGCTCTTTTGTAGCCTGCTCCCAGGTGCCAGCAGCCCTCGGTGGCTCGCAAGCCACCCGTTCCCAGTGCTCGGGGACTCACTACGATTCTCTCCCCGTGCGCAGGCTCGGCGGGCCCCAAACCTGAGGTCATATGTCAGATAGAACGAGGGGAAGAGCCTCACGTCGGGGCTCCCCAAGGGGAGCAGGACGGGGGCATCCCGGAGGCCCCTGGCGTGGGTGAGTGATGCCGCTTCCCCCTCCCTGCCACCTGTTCAGGGGCAAGACGGCAGCAGCTGGGTGGAGCCGTGATTGGCAGGGCGTGGGGGGCTGTGGGTGGGCACGGCTGGCACCGGCCCCCTTTGCAGCAGATAGAGTTTCCCGGGGCGGTGCAGGGTGCAGTGCTGCATGTGTCGGCTCTCTGCCACGCTGCTGGCACAGCTGGTCTCCGCTCTCCCTGGGCTCAGAGGTGCTCCTGCCTCTGGAGTCCTTCCCTACTCCCTTCCCTGGCCTGATTTCTTGTTGGTCTCCCCACAGAGGCCTGGGGCCAGCACGGCAAGGAGACGCTGCTGGAGGAGGAACCCAGCCCGCGCTGGCTGTTGGTGCCCGGCAGCACCCAGGAACTTGCACCCGACTACGCCCCGCTCTGCCCCAGCTGGTGTGACATGAAGCAGCAGGGCTGGGTCGGGGACATGCCCCAGACCCCCCCGGCTTTGGACGGGGGCTTCCGGACGTTCCCCGATGGTGCCTCGGCCCTGGGCCCGGCTGCAGCAGGGAGCAAGGAGCTCCTGATTTGCGGGGCGTGCGGCAGGAGCTTTGAGGACGCGGCAGCCCTGAGCACTCACCTGTGCCAGCCGGCGGAGCACCCCGTGGAGGCCCACGTGTGCCAGGCCTGCGGGAAGGTCTTCCGGCACCGGCGGAACCTGCTGACGCACAAGAAGCGGCGGGGCCAGCGCCGGCACGCGTGCACCGAGTGCGCCCGCAGCTTCTGCCTCAAGGGAGACCTGCTGGGGGCCCGGGACGGGGACGGCG